GGTCCCGAAGAGTGCAAGTCGGAACCTGCGGACCGTAGGCCGTTGCAATACAAGACCGCTTAGCCATGAAATCAGAGCATTGGGCACCGCCATGGCCATCAAAGATCCCGAAACAACCCCAGGTATCTCGGATATGGATGACGTGGGCATCCTCCATGGTGGGTCGGACGCCCTGCATCTCTGCCACACCACTGCGGAAGGCTTTGCCCACAATGGACCTGTTCATTAGAGATCAGATGCGGTGACCCAGGTCTGCCACAGAGTGCCACTAGACCAAAGTCCCGGCCTGGCGGTCATTCTGTCCTGCAAAAAATCGCCCCACTAGTACTGGGATCCCAGCGAGGATTGCTGTTGAGCCGAAGAGTGCATTTGGAGCAGGTCAGGCATTCATGCCAACCAATGACATCTACCAGCTACAATGCCGATAAGCATCGCGACCGGCGTATGTTTTCACGTTTCATGATCTATCAGTCCGCCGGCGCCAGCTCTTGTGCGCATGTAGAAGTTTCTGTCACTTCCTCCGACTTCGCATCGCTGGCTTTTAGCAGAATCCTACTTTCACAGCCGCGCAAGCTAGAGTGTGTAGCTTCGGGGAAACGAAAGATGCGCGTAGGACAAATGCAAACTCAGAAATGCAGAGCTGTGCTCTGCTTGTTGTCATTGTCGTGGTCCCCGTCCGGGTCGAGCTGTCGAGCGTTGGCATCGCGTTCCTAGCACCGGAGGCACGGCGCAGAATAGTCCACAGTGATCCAATGAAAACGCGCGATTGACTGCCTGCTTGTAAATCTCTCCAGGCACATCAAACGAAAGCCGAATAGGCGCCAAACTTCTGAAGCCGGAGCTCCTCCAGACTCCCTTGCTCGGAGCACTGCCTGCTCAAGCCGAATTGCGGCCTACTCACTTCAAGGTGAGAGGTCAGAACTTCGCATGGCAACGGTCGTCTCACAGCATCTACCTCGCTCAAGTAACCTTCATGATCACGAATCTCGCCTTCGAGGTGTTGGACGGAGTGGTATGGAAGTCCACGTCACCTTGGCCCAAGCGTTCAAGATACACAAGACTTGTATGAGAAGGGGACTGAGCTTCTTACCCAAACCGTCGAACCCAGCGGAGTCAGGCAAGCAGTCAAATCAAAGGCCGGCTGCAAGATGACAACCTGGGCGAGCCTGAAGACATACAAGGACTATTTAGCCTCAAGCCTCGACAACAACCAAACCCCTCACGCCTTGGTCACAACTCCACAGACGACAGGAGGACGAAAGAGCGCAGAGGCTGGCGCGCAGTCGGAAGAAGGCCAAGTTTATGTAGTAGGACGCTAGCCTTGGGAATCCTTGGGAGACTATGGAGGCTGAAGAACCTGTTGAAACGGCATGCACGACAGACTCAAGGACGACCATTCACTGCAGAACTCCGGCAGCACGAACAGCACCCTCAATGAACTCACATCTTCGCGAGGCTGCTGGGTAGGTCCCGCACAAACAGCACGCCCAAGCTCGAAAAATGGGCACCTCGCTCCGTTGCTGAGGGCTGGCTCTGCGCTATGCATGCTATGCCCCGCTATGCTGTATCATCTGGGCTTGGGGCCAGATCCTGTCCGGCAATCTCGGCGTGCGCTGAGAGGAAATGGGATGCCTGGGCTCAAAGTACATTCCGAAGGACAAGCCTCAGACACCCGCGCCAAGCCTTCAGACCAGTGCTTTCGGTAGGAAGATGGCATCAAACGAAGACCTAAGCCAGACATGTGGAGGTTTGCAAGCAGAAAGCACTGACAAGGCACAAGGCACTTAGGAAACTACACCTGCACCACAAGCGACCGTTTTCACAACTGGACAAGCCAGTGCTGTGCCCACGCCGGACTCAAGCAACAGTATAAGCAGGGCAAAGCGAACCTCATCAATCTGGCCAACTCCCGAAAAGCATACAAACCGTCCATCAACAGACATAAAACATGCCGAAACGGAAAATCCAAAACATGCAAAAGCAGCAAAATCATGCGCACATAGCAAAACCCCGCCAACCCACATAAAACTGTTGCAGCACAGAACACATATGCAACCCAAGCGCAGCCATCCATGCCAGGCCGCTCCATTCTTGCATTGTTCTTGGCCTGCTATAGACCCTACTAAAACTACCTCTCACACAAGGCCCATCCAGCAGACCCACCACCATGCGTCTGTGCTCGGACTAAATCTTGACCCTTGTCCGCGTCCCACTTACAAAACAGCTGTCAGCACGCAACCTTTAAACGCCAGAAGCATAGTCTTGGCACAAGGACGCATTCCGGCATACCTGTACGCACACATACACTCGGCCTTTGCGTGCGTGCATGCGTTCGTACTCCGTGTGACTACCGTACCAGTCCAGTGCAGGCTTCGGCGGTTCCTGTCTCACGACTCGGACATGCCAGGCGGGTTTCGGGTTAAGAGCCCGGGGCATGTGCAACGTGCCTGCCAGGGCACCACCACAGCAAGAAAGTTAAGGTTATGATCGTGCCAGCCAGGCAGCAGTGGGCACGGATAACTTCAGGGCTTCGGCAATGCCGAGCCCCCGACTTGCTTTCATTTCAAGCCCGTATCACCATGTAACGTGGAGCCCTAGTTGTCAATACGATCATGCAGGTGGTCTTCCTGCTAGGAAGGAAGACCTTTAAAAAAAACACAGGATTGGCTTGATCAAGCACTCTACATGATGAAGGGGACACGTGACACTCTTCCGGAAACCTGCCGAGGCTGGCAACGAGGCTCTCACCAGCTGTACACCTGCTGCTTCTGCTTCTCCTTCTCAATAACTTTGCGTGCTCTGAGCCGGCGGTTCTGTGCAGACTTTGCTAGGCTGCACGCTTTAATGCCACAGTGCATCTGGCACACCCGTGCCTGCAGCGCAGAGACAGATGCAGACTCCAAGATCCACCGACTTTTCCCCCGGGGCCTGTGGCCTGGGGCCCGTGCCGGCAGTCCAGCCCACTGCCGGAAGAGACCGCGCCACCACTGCTTGGACACGGTGATACCCTGCGCGCGGGCCTGATGGAACACGCAAAGCGGAGACTGCGCAGCAGGCCAGGACTATGCTGAAGAAGACGAAAGGAATCATGCGCGGCCTTATGGGCGAGCGTCGTCCAATCATGGTTCATTGACCTCGGGGCGGCGACAAGGAATTCGACTCCAGTTGTGGAGGGCGTATGAAGACGAGGGACCAGGTAGTAGAAGTCCAAATCCTGGAAAGTCGCATAGGTCTTGGCGACGAACCTGATGTAACTTACATGTCTACGTACCCACGAGCCGCTGGAGCGTTGAGACCAGAGCTCACTTCTGAACAGGCTCATCCCTGAAAACTCGTCCACCGACTCACAGCATCATTGCGTCCTGCATGGATGTCAGCTGCAATACCCGACAAGCTGAAAGCCAAAGCCTGCCAAGCTCGAGGCCTTCTTCGAGTAGAACTTGATGCAGTACTCTTTGTTCGTTTCCGACATCTGACATAGGAACAGGAAGCAGAGCAGCGGCGCAGGGTGAGGCCTCTCGCATACAATGGGCATAATCGCATGGTGTAGCTTGGCAGCATGCTTCTGCCTCATCTTTGGAGGCAGTGCTGCGAAGCCGGCCTCAGGTGACACAGCTGCGAGGCGGATCTTGAACGCAGCGTCAGGACATGCCGCATGCCCCACTCGTTCGAGTGGCTCATGCTAGTTTGCGGCACCTTGCCCTCACCAACATGACATACATGATGCACTGCAGCAGAGCCAGCAGACTAATAATCCTCTTCTGGAAATTGGCCGGATCTCATTTCAGAGAGTGGCTGAACAGGAAGTTGCTTGAAAGAACGCTTGCTCGTCCAACTGGAACACCTCCACCAGCAACGAATTGAATCTGGCATCAAAGGCTCTTGCCTGAAAGCTGGCCTTCCTTTTCGTTGGCTTCTTCCTTGCATTCAAGCAGTGCTTTGGGACCTCATCGGGCTGCACTAGCTTATTGCTCAAAGAAGTCACGAAATGCCATGCAAAAGCTCTCCCAAGCTCAACACTTGCTAGATCTCATGTCATGATTGAGCGAACCCTGCAGCCTCCAGCTCCCTTGCAACTCGCGACAAAAAAGAAGCGCACAGCTTGAAGGCAAGAAGGGAGCCCCCAGGTTCGAGGCATGCCCCGGCCGCTCCATGTTCCGAGGCTGGTGCTTTGCAAAGGTCAGTGAAACAACTTGCGAGGCAGCCTCAATGACGTCCGGAACGCCAGCAACGTCTAGTTGATGATTACCCACAGTCACTTGTAGTACTCTCTCCAAACCTGGCCCTGTTTGTCTACCTCACCTGACTCAAGCAAACCCCACGGCGCAGAAACAATGGTGGCAAGACACTTGCGGCCAGCCTTCAAATCGTGGCGCTCGCCATCATCGGTTGCACATCACCTGCGCAGAATACACGGAGTGCACATGTCGATACCAACTCACCCACATCTGAAGCCCGGAACAGGCGGAGAGACATGCAATGGTTCCAGGCATCCAATCAGGACAGCTGAAAAACGGGGTGCCGAAATCCAAGATCCGGGCAGGAACGAAGCGGAGCAGGCGACGCCCAGGTGTCTGTTGGCAAGCGCTACATACGGGGGAGGAGTTCGATCCAGGGCAGAGGGCATCCCGGGGTCCTTCTCGAAGGAGAAGGCCGCTGGGCGAAGATGATTGCATGAAAGAGAAATGCCTGGGGACCGTTGATACTGACAGTTCTCAGGGAGCCTTTGCATTCTGTGCGCAATACAAAGCCGGGGCAGGAGCATGTGTACACGATGTTCCCAGATTTTCCCAGCAGCGTTGGCTGCTTCGCCGACCTCGTGAATTCTGAAGCCGAGTGGGCTTGGCATGCTCTCACGCCTGCGGGGCTGAGGGCCTAACCTGGCCCTGGCCGGCGCAGGTCGGGGGCCCGGCGGGGCCCTGGAAACACCACGGCAGCTTCCGTGAACCAGCGGAGACCCTCTTGCGTATGACAGCTTGATAGAATCAAGATATCTCGCCTTAGTCGACGCCCCAGTATCCGCGCCCAACACCTCGGCTCTTGGATTCGGCAAACATGAGCCGCGACTCGCAATCGACTCGCTCGTCTCAGCTCTCAAGTTTTCCAGCTCAGCGTGTGGCCCCGGACCGAAGGTGTTCGCAATGGCTTGGACTTTTTCACGTCCTGTCTTGCGTTCCATGCAGAATCATGGATGTTGCCCTACAGGCTGTGGGCGTGGCGGCTGTGGCTGCTACATGGCTGAAGCTGGCCATGGTCGCTAATATGTTTTCCTCTGCTTGGCGATGCAAGTTGAACGGCCGCATTCCTTCATGCGGGCCTCTTCTACAGAAGCCAGCATTGTACGTGACTGGCTCTTCATGTTGTGATGCTCAGCCAACAGGCCGGAACTGCCGTGTAAAAATTACTGGAATAGGTCCTTCTTGCCGATTGACGCACCCGACTGCTGGGGAGTCACCTGGAATAGACGTGCATCCCACACACTGGAACACATGCCCAGAATACATGCCAGGAATTGCCAAGACGCATCTGAGGTTCAAGCTGTCGTCGCCGAGGCTTTGACAAGCTGCAGCGAAGCCTTTGCAGAGTCAACAATCTGGCTCGGAGGGGCAAGTTTGAGCCCCGAAATCTCAACAAGTGGTGCCCAGAGTGGATATTCTGGCAATCGCATGTTCTTGGAACTGGATGTTGCTTCCATCGGCCAGCTGGGGAGAATGGCATGTGGCGAATCTGGTTGTAGGGGTGTTCGAAGGTCTGAACACCAAACCCTGGAAAGCCGCAGGCGCTTAAGACGAAATGCAGGGTTCCCCCACCCCGCAGCGAAGAGCGATTTCGCGCTGTGATCAAAGCAGCCCACCTCTTTGGCAGTGCCCCGGCAATCTGGCAACAAAGTTGGAAGGCCTTCAGCTGCAGAAAAAAAAAACAAGGAGATGCCTGCAACGACTCATGCTTCTAGCATCAAAACGAATGCCTGTTCGCGAAATCTGCCTCTACACTACACCTTCAGCTCCAAAGGGATTCTGAAAGCCCCAAGATCCAGGCGCAAATACTTCGCAGCTTTGACAATATTGAGAGGGGCATTGTGAGAAAACTGGGCCCCCAGAACGTCCCTTTCTGTTTTGAGAACCCTTACAGCATGGCTATGTCATTGAAGTTTCAGAGCGAGCTTTGTAAGGCATGCCTGTGGAAAACGCTTGCACGCTCTGCGGATGTCATGGATGCATCTCCGTATTTTTCACATTCGTTTCTTTGCTTTGGTTCTTTTCCGTGCTTAACGTCGAGAGAAGTGGCACAGCCAAATCAACAAGACACTCTCCTGAGTTCTCTAATTTACTTGGGATTCCCAATAAGCAAAACTCGGCAGCACCAGGCCCATAATCGTTCAGCTTGCATGCCAAGAAGTGCCAAGCTAGCCCTTTGTCAGCGGATTTCCACTCCCACCTCCCGATACAATCGACTCCGCGCCTGCTGTTGAGGCGGCCGCCGTTGGGGCACCAATCCTGGCCCGTTGCAGCGCAGCCTGAACAAGGGCTCTAGACCTTTGGCCCGCGAAACGCCCAGTGCCATGTGTTGGCTCCTGTGGCTCCTTTAACAGATGTACCGGAATGAATACATAACACCAGCGATGTTCCACCGATGAGAAAAGGAGTGGCGGCCTCGGCAGCAAGATTTTCCAGTGCCACGGCGCGTGCCTGGGAAACCATCCGGACACTGCAGACGCTGCACGAACCACCCTAATGCAGTCTCACTATGTCTCCTGTGCGTGTATTAGCTCTGTGCTCTCCTGAAAAATGCCATCAGTCCCGGACCAGCTTCTGGAAGTTGGCCAGCCTGCGCTTTGCTGCCTGGCATACGCAGAAATTTGGGGATTGTAAGGCAAGTGAGATGTTTTCACAATCGCCCAGCTGACAGAGTCGCACCGCAGGGAATTCGTCCGAAACCAACTGCGGAAAGAATGCAAGTCCAAGGTTCCAAGAGGGTCTCCCGAAGTGGCTCGTGAGATCAGGGTGGGAGCTTGTGTGCACAAGCGCACTCCGAGTTGATCACGAATGTGCAAGAAACTCGAAGCACAAACACGACGGGTGCTCCTTGCTGGCGGGCATCTTCGAAAGCCGAGACAAATACAGTGAAATCAACGTCGGCTCTCGCTCTCGAGCCAGCGCAGCCACGGGGCATCAACATTCACTGCATCAGGAACGGTACTTTTGCCACATCCCGGAATCTCCTGGGCCTGAAGCTGTCGATGCCGATGTCGCTCAGCCCGACATTTTTTCAGGGCATATTTCTAAGCTGAAGTACTGCATTCACATCCGGACAGACAAGTCCTGTCTTCCCTGTGACCTCCTTGTTAGATAGAGCCCTCCCCACCCAAAGGAACAACTTACTTCCCATCCCAAGGTTAAAGCCAGGAGCCATCCTTATCCTCGTCGGACAAGTCAGTCAGGAGACGTCGCCGCATGTGAAGATCTGGGTTAGATAGCTTGCGTTGCCCAGCAAAACAACTAGGCAGCACGTGCGTCTGCCGCCGCACCATACTCCCATCCTCCGTTCTCATGAAGAGAGACCATGCGAGACCGCACAGGCGCACCACCAAGAGACACGGGAGCACCACAAACCCGAGCTGCTTGACAAACATCCTTGTGAACGCAGGAATGGGTATCCGGCCTCGTGTGAGATCGTGGGAAACAACAAACGCGAGACCGCCCCGGTGCACTCAGGAGGGAGACCCATGAGAGACCACAGCCTGACCTGTCACACATTTTGACATGTTTGCGCATGACAAAAAAAAAGAGACCATGGGAGACCACAAGCCCGAGCAGCTGACGGCTGTGTGCAGTAAGCGTCAAATTGCCGCACTTTTGATCTTGCGTTCCGAAAAATCGAAGTCCAAGAGTTGTCTTTGACTGCGACTGACCTCCCAAGCTAAACGAATATGAGGCACCCTCAGCACACATCCGCGCTGTAACATTCTGAAGCCACTGCCAGACCCTTATCAAGCGCACCGACAATTCTTCAGAGATTGTAAGCAGTTCATGCCACCTGAAAAATATGCTACCGGACCGGCGGAGATGCAATTCCAGGACCTTCGCACAAACGCAAGCATGTGACTTCCTCCGATGCTGATGCTGCAATGCCGACGCTGCCACATCACTAAGCCTGGACTGCAGAGATGCCCGCACTTGTGAGAATGCGAGGGCGCTCAAGTAGTTTATGCACCACGGCGCAGCCGGCGATCTTCGCCGGCCGCGTCTGAAGCAGGCACCACTTTGTGCGCCTGCGGCGCGTAAAGTCGGCTGGAGCCAGCATGAAGAGGCCCCGCAACGCCCAGCACATACTTGCCATCCACTGACCACACCTCAGCAAGCTCACACAATCTAAGCTCCCAGTGAGCACGAAGAGCATGCAACGGTGCAGGACCTCTCTTTGCAAGCACCACAACCATTTGCAAGCGCAGTGCTCGTAGAAAGTTACCATGAAGGACAATCATTCTTTGAAGCAAGTTCCCAGTCCCCCCTCTGTTTGCAAACACAATGCTCGCAGAAAGGTGTTATCGAACTGCCACCCACCCCGTCTAGCACCGCACCCCCCCGCTAGTGGCAGCATCGCTCTATCACATCACATCGAGTACTTTCCCCTGCCTGCACTCACTCACTTGCTTTCGGTCCGGCTTCCGGGCCGTGCTCCTGCTGCGATGGTCGGGCGTGATTTTTCGCGCTGGGAAGCCCGGGCCCGCGGCGCCGTAACAGAACAATTAGCTTAGATGTTCTAGGCTAGAAAACTTGTGTATCAGCGAACCACCAGTGATTTCTTCTAATCTGAACCGGCTTTACCGCATCCGCAAAGTGCCCTAGGCCAGAAAGAAACACACTGAACCGTGAAGCCCGAGGATCATCTGAGCTCCGTGCGGAGGCAAATCAAGCGGTGCACCTGCTTCAGTGTGCATGGTGCGCGCACCGGCAGTTGCATGAGAGAGCAATGGCAAAGCAATCTGCGCATATGCCTTTTTTGCATCTTGCCCCGGTCACAGGCAACAGACGCAGGGCCTTCACAGGTCAGCATCGCCGGCGTCCCAGAAGGCAGTACCTTCCGGGTTAGTCAGGGAGAATTGATTTATGTTTTCGGGTCTATAGATGTATTATTCGAGTCTAAGAGACTGTTGTATTTCTTTTATGGGATTTGCCCAAAAATTGTTTAAGCCGCTCTGGGTTTCGGTGATGTTTCAGTGTTACTGGGGCTTTAAAATTTTAAAGTCCATAAACAAGTAATGAATCGGAGGCTCTTGACCTTAAATTTAGGTTGTCGAGTATACGATAACTAGAATTTCAGGATGCTTACTGTGTTTTGTATGAGACTTGTCTATAGTTTTGAAACGTTCCGGATTTTAAGGTTTGTGGATCTAAGGCTTGCTGCAGTCCGGAGTGCGGCAGCCCATGTCCCTGAAGGCATTGTAAATGCTCGTCACGATGTCGTTCTGGACATCAGAGGGTGCAAAACCCATGCTTTCCAGCTCGGCCTTCTGGTTTTTGTCCAGTCGAAAGTAGTTGACTATGTTTCGCATCGTGGGTGGCAGCCAGCATCGAGCGATGTCCACGTCTGGGTCCTCCTTTTTTTACATCAGACTTGCGTCTGGGTCCTCCTTGAATTTCCTACATGCGGCCTGAATGGCTTCTTTGTCGGCCTTCTTCCCGAGACCGTCTGCGTATGCATGGAAGCGTCGGCCACCGAATCCCGATGCAACCAATACGGCGGATGTGCGTTGGTTGCCCCTATATGTCTCCAAATGATAGAGCCGCTCCTCGGTTTTGTTGTACCGTTCCAGGAACCTGCAAACTGCTTCCCTGGCAGGGATCGAACTGCGAGCTTGATTCGCAGTCAGGCTAGCGGCTCGGGCGTAGGAAGGGTTCAACCTACGTAATCTAATCATTGATACGCGGGCTTCCTTACGCAAGGATTCTTTGCATCTTCCCACGACGTGCCTCGGATGCATCTTTGACCACTCCTGGTCGGAGAACCCGATCTTGTCCTCCATACGCACCGCGAGGATGGCGAAGTCGCCCGTTTTTATATTGTGCAGGATATCGCTCGCTGTTCTATCCTTTTTCCGCGGTTTGCTGTCGGGTACAGCTTCTTCTGCCCAGTCTTGCCAAGCTTCTTCTTTTGCTTCCCACGCCTCCTCTTTGACTTCCCAAGGCTCTTCTTCGACTTCATCGTCCGCTTCATCTTTCACCTCGTTCATCTCTTGGGCATGAGGCTCTTGGAAAGCCGGCTGCGCGACTTTACGGCGCTTCGTGGAAGGCTGCATCGGGCTGGACATGCTCATCATGCTCCAAGTCTGCAAACTGCGAGCCAGACCAGCCAAGCAAGCACAACTAACCTGATCTTGCCGAAGCTGGGAAGTGATTCGCACTGGGAGATGTCCAAGAACTGGGCCGGCTGACGACTCATCCATGAGAACAGCTGGCAATCGGGTGATCGGCAACCTGGCAAGGCGACACCACCCACAAGTCCAAAGGGCTGGACTCGTCTGCTTCCGATCGCAACCTTGCATGTGTTCATGGGATGTTGGGGTTGGTGCTTGCAGCCACGCCGTAGATACATCCGTCCCCCGGCCAATTTCGCCTCACCGCCTCACCGCCCCCCGCGCTCCTCTGCCGTGAACTTTCATGTGGTTTCGGGGGCTGAAGGCCTTGCCGGGCCCAAGTATTCGAGGCGCTTTCGGAAATATGCTATTGACAACCAATCGAGCTCAGGGACGCAGGTTTGGACTCTTCGGGTTTTGGCTTCACCGTAGAGTAGTTCTCCGCTTTGAACATGGCCAGCCCGGCCTGAGGCTTCGGCTTTGGCAGGCTCCGACACAAGACAGCGAAGGCAAGGCACCTATAGCAAGCAGGGGACATCGGAAGAAGGAAAATGCGTCGAGCTTCCAAGCACCTCTGCTTGTTCGCCTCGGCGCTTGTGTGGTTAGCGGTCAGCACCTTCAAGTGACCAGCGACCTTCCATGAGGCAATTGTGCACTTGAGTGCTCGAACATCCAACAGCAGCTGCAGGCTGTGTGCACCTGTGCGCAACGCTCACGTCTCGAGGAGCTCCGACACAGTGCAGCGATGGCTCACGTTGAGTTCTGCCAACTGCATTCTGTCGGCGCAGCAGCAGAAGAAAGCTTCTCAGGCGAGGGCTTCTGCCCGGCGCTTTTACAGGAACATGAACTCTTCCTGCAGCTGTCTTGTTCGTCCAGTTCCCGAGCTTAAGCTCTTGATCTTTCACACAAAAACAGCAATCACTCTTCGTCACACATTTCGCTGCGTCCTGGTTGGCCGTCGAAGCATAATCGCCTCGCAGATCCTCGCAGCAGACGATCTTTGTCGGGACCTTTGCCGGCATCAGCGTAATTCAACGGAGGCCGGTTTAAGACTTAGACCGCTTTCCAACTGTAAAAGTCACGGACTCGGCCTCCCTAGCATGTTCGAACAAGTAAACAAGAAATGAAGTACCAAGGATAAAACCAAGGGGTAGTAGTGGTACTAGAAGTAGGAGTGGTAGTCGTCGCCGTAGTAGTAGTAGTCGTCGTCGTCGTCGTAGTCGTCGTCGTCGCAGTAGTAGCCGCCGACGTAGTAGTAGGAGACGCCCCCCCTATCAACCACTTGTCCAGGAGCACATCCATGTTACTCGGTATTTGCCGTACTTTCGTGATGTTGTAATCCAATACCAACCATGGCTGTTGAGCACTGTAGCTGCTTGCGGGCTTGGGGGTGAGGGAGGTGGGGGGGATGATGACGTACCTTTGCAAGAGCACGTCCGTGGTACTATAGGTATTGATTGATAGTACTTTCGTGATGGCGTAGCCCAAGACCAGGTGGCTGGTAGGCTGGGGGGGGACGGGGGGCTAGTAGTAGCGGTAGCAGTAGCAGTAGCAGTAGCAGTAGCAGTAGCAATAGCAGTAGCAGTAGCAGTAGCAGTAGTAGTAGTAGTTAGTAGTAGTAGTAGTAGTAGTAGTAGTAGTAGTAGTAGTAGTAGTAGTAGTAGTAGTAGTAGTAGTAGTAGTAGCCGTAGCAGTAGTCGCAGTAGTAGCAGTAGTAGCAGTAGTAGCAGTAGTAGCAGTAGT